TGAATTGTTTTACAAGTTAATTTTTGTTTTTAACAATTAAATTAAAATAAAAATTTGATAATTTTTTGTAATCTTAACAAATTTAACGGTGACTATAACCATAGCCCAACTTCTAGTGCTTGGCCTTTGCTGTGGCTGGTTATGTTGGGAGTTTTGGGGGTTGGTGGTGGCGGTTTTGTGGCGGTGTGCGGTGGCAACAACCTTGGTATTAAGCAATACGAATGTAAATGTTGCAACAATAATGGCTCTGGGCCTCTGGCAATGATCCGACAAGAAGGCCAAGGATGGCTGGGGCTAAATTGAGAAGAGAAATTATATAACAATTGCTCAACTTTGTTCAACATTAAAGGCTTATGCTCATCACTACCAAAAAATTAACCACATGGACTCGTCCTCAAATAAAAAGCCATGGCCCATATCATTTCTTTAATGAAATTTGCTTAGGCTAGAAGGTCAATTATTAGAAGGCCCAACTTAGTAAAAAAAAAAACAAATCCACTAACAAAATAACAATTTTTTTTTAAAAAATTACCTCTAATAATGAATTATATTATGAGATATAATTATTCCCTTCTCAAACCTCTCATCACCTCATTTTATGATTCAAATTAAAAATTTTTAATATGAAAATTTAAATTTTTAATTAGTAACACGTATTTTTAGAGACATAAAATATATATTGACAAGGTGCCAAAAAAAAAAAAAAAACAATTTTGATAATGGTCTTCGCTATTTTTTCCTATTGATGATCAGAATATGTTTAAAATTTAACGGAGACTTGTATCCCAACCAATTGGTGATGAGTTTTTCTTTTTCTTTTTTTTTACTGATTTCGGATACATATATCCCTATGTTACAAACCGACATTTTCATTTCAAATGAAAAATATCAAAGGGAGTGGAAAGTTAACCCTCATTTTTATCACCTAGTTGAAAAGTTACTCGGGTTAGGAATGCTAGTGCTTAATTGGCTTGGGCTCCCACTTTAACATACAAAAAGGGTTAAACTAAAGATATCAAAACATCTTTAATGCTACCACTCTATATATATATATATATATATATAACCTCAATGTGTCAAAATATAGACATGTGAATCTTCTTGCAGCACAATGAATTAATTATTCTAATTCAAGAAGTATATGAAAAATAATACGTGAATTGAGCATATGCATCTTTAGATTGTCTAATGCTATAATTTTATATTTCATAATCTTACATACTGGTAATTGTGATTCTTTTAATTCGACAACGGTGCATGATATAGCGAATCAATATGCATATATTTGTCTAATGTAATTATTATATATCGTAAGACCATTATGAGATAATATTGTAAATACGCACTAAGAGAAGTGATCCCGGTGCCTTAAAGGCGCTACACTTGGCAAATTGGTATTCATCCACATAAGCCATTTCCTCATTGCATAAGGAAAAATAAATAATCTTTTGAAATCAGAGAGTGCTGAACGTGGAGATCTGAGATTCTCACAGCTCAGATTATTGTAGCTATCAATTTCGTAAGTTAGTATGCACTTTTCCCCCCCTCGGATTTTAGTGATACGGGTAGGATCCTCAGATGCCACCATTCTGAAAAAAAGAAAAAAAGAAAAAAAGATTACTATGAGCTGTTCCAATTATTGAGTTCTAAATTCAGTTTAATTGGGTTCCTTTTCTTCATCCCTTTTTCATTTTTCTTTTAATGGTTGTGTCAAAAGATTTCTTTAGTGGATCATCCTTTTCATAATTATTGTATATTGTTAACATAATCTCTTATTTTATAATTTAAATTGTAAAACATAGGTTATTAGGAGATGACACTATTATTAAAGGGCTCATCTATCGTTAATTTTATAATTAGTGTTCGTATAGTACAATGTAATCTAATCTACATAATACTTTTTTCTTGTTTATATTTCTTTGCTCACAATCCCTTTTTTTTTTTTTTTTAGGAATAGCCTCCAGCTTAGGGTACTCTTTTCTCCTTTCATTTTATATTTGTCTCACTTTTTGATTTTATACATATCTAAGCATTTTGGGGATTAATTAAAAGCTTTTTGATTAGGTATTAAAATGATACTTTTATACTTAATAAAAGCTTTGTTATATTTATAAACAAATTAGTAGAGTAATAAAGATAAAGTTGGAATTTAGTAATAACATTTAATATCTCCTATAAATAAAAAAAGTGACACAACTAAATTAAAAAACTTTAATTTTGTAAGTGAGACACTAAATTGAAATGGAGGGAATAGATCTTTTTTACAAATAGATTTTTCTTAGGTGAATCTTGGGCCTTATAACCTATAAAAGGATATTTGCTCATCACACAACTCCTTATATTATCAATAACTATATCATTATCGGATCAATAAATAATTTAGCCATTTATGGTATCTTTTTGTTTTTTTTGAAAAAAAAAAAGACTACCAATTGCTATCAGACACTTTTTTTATGTTCAATAGACAACTTGATTAAACAATTAACCATAAATAGTACTAGAGTTCATTAATTAGAGATGCCTAACACGGTATATATCATATATTCATAATAATAATAATAATAATAACTTCAATTTATTACAATCCGGACAATAAACACTGCCCAAATTTGTATATCCATTTATATATTTATTTGTTGATTAATTTATTTTGTCGTATTCAGGAAAGGTTCATGTTAATACGTATTTTTTGAGAACCACTTAAACTGAAGAACATCAACTAATGTAAGTATATATAAATAATTAAATACTCTTTTAATATTTGAAATCAAACAAGCTATATGACACTTCAGTATTAGCCTAAATTAATCCTCTCTTTTATGTTCTTTTCACATAAAGCTAGTAAAAGTGTAAAACCCTACCCCATATAGTTCATACTAGATAAAGTTAAAATGGCAAACATACAATGATTCAAGGGAGGCAGGAACTGATAAATGATATAATATGAAATAAGAGGCACCAGAGGGAACCCCACTTTTCCTCCAACATACATACATACATACATATATATATATATATATATATATATGAAATGAGGAAAGAAACGCCTGAACAAACTTGGTAGGTGATATCTGAGGCATTCGGTTTCTCTGTTTGTGGGCATTAATTATAATTAGGAGATCTGTGTTTTGAGATATAATATAAACGAAACCCATTTTCACTTTTTCTTTGTGAAAGTGGGGACAGAAATTTTTGTAAAGCACTAGTTTCGTCTCCTTATATTGAATATTTTTTAATTTGGAGACATATATATTCTCTGTTGCTATATGTCCTGACTTGAGAAAGTTTCTAACAACAAAACAGTAGTGCTGTGTGAGTGTTTTCCAGAGTAGGGTGCATGCATTACATTTTCCTTTTGGTCGTTGTTTTCTTTGCATAATTGAGGGCAAGAAACTAAGGACATGTACGGAGCAGTGGGTAATAGTCAAGGAGTTAGATATGCAAGCTCAATGGGTATTGCGGATGGTTAATGTAATTATAGTGAGTTGAACATCTTTTATACTATGATCTGATAAATTAATCTAAAAATTCAGAATTACGTTTATAAAAGTGTATGCTTTTGGTACATTGTGTAATTATGTGCAAAATAAATGAGTGTTTCTTTTTCTTTCTTTGGGTAAGTGTCACCGGAAGTCACAAAAGTTTGCATGTTATAATTAATTTTTGGAACAATTGGGTTGTTGATATGTCTCTGATACTTACAATAGTTATGCCCTTTAAAAGTTCACTTCATATAAGAATTAATCAACACACTATGAGTTACAATTTTTTTTTTTTTTTTGGTGGTAAATAGACATGGTATTTTCACTTTTCAATCTAGCTATGATTGTTTATGCTAATTGACATGCTATGGGTTGCCATAATTAGAGTTAAAAGAAAATCCGAAAAGGAAAAATTATATAGATATGGTGGTTTCTCTTTAATTGGCTCATTGAGAAACAAAAGTTCAGTATAACCAAAAAATTAAAATAGAAAGATATTCTTATAAGAAAAGAAAAGAGGAAAGAAATAAATAAAGAGATTATAGCACTAATTGATATTGACTAGGTAGGCCCTTATCCAAAAAAAATTGACTAGGTATTCCACTGCCTATTTAAATAAATAAATAACTAAAACACTAGTTAGGCAGGGATGAACATGAAATGCACATGTGATGAATGGAAAATTGGGGTACCATTTTTTTACTTGTCCAAGTCTATCTTCTCCACTCTGGATTTGCAGGTAGGTTTTCTATTTATATATAAGTAGGTATCCAATTCATATATTAATTTATATAAAATTTTAATTACTTTTTATTTATTTAATAGATAAATTTTATTTATATTTATTAAATATAATTGTTATTTTATTTAAAAATTATGATAAATCATAATTAATTAAAATACATAAATAAATGAATAATTAAAATTTTATATATATAATAAATAAAATTTATATATTAATAAATTTCCCATATATATAGAGAGAGAGAGAGTAGTAGAAAGAAGATACAATCCTCTCGTGTGATAACAAGAACATAAGGGTTAATTTATTCCTTTTGCAGTTGTGATCTTTTACCACGAAAAAAATTGTTCCATGCCGCCAACTTACGTTATAAGAATTTATTATTAAGAGATATTATTATAAGAAAAAAACTAATATTAATTTGATTTTTTTTTAAATTAAAATTTTAATATAAAATAATATTATTTTATTTAATTAAAATTTAATTTAAAATTTATAAATTTACTTTATTAAATATTTAAAATTTATATTCTAATATAATTAATTTTTAAATCTATACATCGACATTTAATAAGATAAATTTATAAATTTTAAATTAAATTTTAATTAGATAAAATAATATTATTTAAAGTTAAAATTTTATTTTTAAAAAAATCAAGATTAAAATATACTATTTCTTTATTATAAAAAGTTTTTTTTTTTACTCCCACCGTCTAAAGTGATACTTGTATATATTCTCATTTAATATTAGTACAAGACTAATTTAAAATCCCATTATAAATTAGTAGTTGATAGAATTTACAACTTAATATATTTATTTGCAAATTTAATTTAAGTGCCTTCTTGAAATTAAAACTCCTTTTTTTTGTTTTTATTATTGAACAAATTTTAAAACTCTCCTTTTGAATAAAAATTAACTCTATTTATACATTTATGAACTTTTTTTTTTTTTGAAGATATACATATATGAAATTAAATCAAAGGTTTACAAATCCTTGTGCTCCACATTCTATTATATCATCAAAAGCAATCCTACCTTTTCACAGGAAGAGGCCTAGAGGGTGAGATTTTTAGGGCTTAGGCAGTATTGGCAGGCCCCCACTGATAGCCACGCCCACCATTAATGATCAATGATCTTTCTTCTTCCTTCTTTCTTTAATCATGGAAAAGAAAAGGGCACTTCCAATCACCGTTTCAAACCCCTGTCTTATCAAATTATCAACCCTAAATCTAATTTGTTTAAATAAAATTTGCTAATTTGGTTCTAATACCTTTATTTATTTTTTTTTTTCACAATAGGACGTGTTATTAATAATATGGATATAAATTCACATGTCTCATTTACAATATATTTGAATTGAAAAAAAAAAAGAAAAAAGGAAAAAAATTTCTTTTTTGAAAAGCGAATGAATTTTATTGTGAATACAAAGGGCACTTAAACTTTTAAATATCAGCACATGAAATTACATGTAAACAAAGTGTTCAAGACAAAGTCACTCAACAGTCCAAAAAACTCCCATCAAGACTCTATATTCTGTTTGTCAAGCATCTCACTGGATGTAGTTATCAAAAAACTTAGAGATCAGAGAAGAAGAAAATTTTTTCTTATTTTATTTTTTCATTTAATTTAATTATTTATTTAAATAAAGAGAGAGAAATAAAAGATATAATTTATTTTCTTTTCATTTCCCTCGCTAACTCCTTGAAAATCACATTCTTCTTTCCCAAAAATTGTACACTATTAAAAAAAAAAAAAAATCCAGTCTCATATTTTGTAGTCTCGGTTCTACCAAATTATAAAAGAAATGTTTTAGATAAAGAGAGGAAACCCACCCATATTCAATAATGTTGCATGGTTCACTACGCAACCTTTTTTTTTTTTTTTGAATGGAATTATAATACCATATAAGATTATTAATTTTTATTTATTTGTCAATTTAAATAAAAAATATATATAATAATATCTCATAATTATAAATTTATAATGTTACATAATATAATAATTATATTATTTTTATTCCTAAAATAAAAAATATTTGGTCAAACACAAAGGGTTATAATTATAGCCATTATTAAATTTATTAAAATTGTTGAAATTAATAAAATTTTACCTTAATTTAATTATTAAAAATAATTGATAAGTAATAATTGATAAAATAATTAATATTTATTGTTTAATAAATTAAAATTAATTTATAAATAAATATTTTTAAATATCATAATAAATTATTAAAAAATTATAAATTAATAAAATTACAAAATATTATTTTACATGATAGATTATATATAATCTGTCTTATAAAATTATTTATATATGTTTAAAAATATAATATAAGGTGTTATGAACAATAATTTTATTTACGTGACAATAATTTATTTTAAAATTAACAAGTAAACAAAAAAATTTTGTGACAATAATCTCTATCTAGGTAGAGGCAGACCATCATATTTACGGCTAAAACCAACTCTGAACCCCTCGTCTTACAAAATTGATAAGTTTTAGTTCATAACCTTATAATATGATACTTTTAACTCTTTACTTTACAAAGTTTATAGATTTTATCCCCTCACCTTACAAAGTTTGTAAGTTTTAATCCATCACCTTACAAAATTGATAAGTTTGAACCCCTCATCTTATATTATGATACTTTTAACCACTTATCTGTATAAATTGAAGAAAATAGCCCTCATTTAATGTTAGATTATAATGTTCTGTTAGTTCTATTAGCTGATTGTCAGTTATGTTAGTTGATTATTAGTTCTGTTAACTGACTGTTAGTATTCGTTAGCATTTCGTGAATGAAAGTAACAAATAAAATTGAATTTAAATTTCATGTTTTATATAATGAAATGCTAACGGATATTAACAATTAGTTAACAAAACTAACAGAATATTATAATTTGATATTAAGTGAATGCTATTTTCTTCAATTTGTATAAATGAGGTTTAAAATGTCATAATATAAGGTGAGTGATTAAAATCTACAAATTTTATAAGATGAAGGCTAAAAACTATCAACTTTATAAGGTAAAAATCTAAAAATATCATATTACAAGGTAAAATACTAAAATCATTAATTTTATAAAATAAAAAACTAAATGTTGATTTTTGTCCGTATTTACCGGAACTCTTCTTAAAATACTCAGAAGAAAAAAAAATAATAATAAAAAGATGGGAAAATCTAGTTAATTGCTGGACAGCAGGAAGCAGGAAGTAGGACGTAGGAAGTGCCGGTGGATTTTTATTTCAAAAATCGTACAGAAGAGAAAAGTGCAGCGTCCGTCACCGTCAAGTAACGGAGATGAGAATCGGTGGTATCTGGCGCAGGCTTTTACCCGCCGATTACTCTATAATGAGACGCTGCCTTACGCCTGTTCCACTCTCTCTTCCTTCATTTTTTCACAAAATAAATATACACACACCCTCTTTTTGACCCTTCTTTTCTCTCCTCTGTTTCCTCTTCTTCACGGCAAACTAGAAGCAAAGAAACGATAAGTACGAAAAAACCCACAAAAAAGAGTGGAGGGTCTTTGGAAAAATAGAGAAGTATAGTGAGAATCAAAGAAAAAAAAAGAGGTGATTATGGATGATGGAATGTTGGAGATTGGTATCATCATGGCTCATGGACGTCCTTCTTCCTCTAAATTCCTTGATGCTTGTCCCAAAAGGTAATCTTTGAAGATCCCTTTGGCTTAGTTTCTTCTAAAGTTTCCCTCTTTTTCTTATTCACTATAGTGTTAGTTATTGTAGATTTAGGTTTTTCATATTTTTTCCCCCAATATATTGATTTTAGGGAAAAAAATTTAAGATTTCAGAAGTTGGGTTTTGTGTTTTGATGGATTTGGTGTTTCTGGCTCAGAGTTTCCCACCTGTATTTGGAGGATTTCGGGAGATTTTAGGATTAGGGTCAGATATTGTCTTTATTTAGCAGCAAGTTTCATCTCTTTCTCTCTCCTTAGGCAGAGATTGAAGAGGGATTAATTTAGTTTTTAATTACACTTTATATAGAACTATCTCTTTTAGTAGATCTTTGTCTATTTGAAAAATAAGATTTTTTTTTTTTTTGGTTTTATTTTTGATAAGTTGGGGTTGTTGAATTGATATTCTTGATTTTTTTTTCCCCTTGTTGTGGGTGTGTTTGGGGATTGTGTTATCTGATTGATAAATTTAGGGTTTTGATGGAGGGGAGATCTTGTGGGGATTGATATGAGGTTGTACTTTTGTTGAATTCTTTGTTTTTGGCGATATGGAAATCTTCAACCCTCCAGCAGCAACACCCACCTCCAAGCAGATGCGCTGAAATGGGAGATTCACTCCTCCTCACGGCCCTGTCAATGGAGAATCACCATCCGTCTACTCTTTTATCAATGGATTCTAGTGCTTCCTCTCATGATGAACTGGACTTGGAAATGAATCGGCAGATCGTTCTTTCCCGGCCACCTGATATCAATCTCCCCCTGTCTGCTGAGCGAAGCCCGACACCACAGCATTGGAACTCGGACCAGTGTGATATTTTAGATGTTGGCCTTAGTTCTCAAGCATACGAGACTGAGACTTACCTCAACGTCGTCTCTAAGGCTGGAAGGAAATGTGCCAAACGGGTAGATAGCATCTGGGGTGCTTGGTTTTTCTTTAGTTTCTACTTTAAGCCTGTTCTGAATGAAAAATCGAAGGCTAAAATTGTCCGGGACAGCAATGGAGTTTCTGGATTTGATAAATCTGATCTCAAGCTCGATGTTTTTATGGTGCAGCATGACATGGAGAACATGTATATGTGGGTTTTCAAGGAGAGACCTGAAAGTGCTTTGGGCAAGATGCAGCTAAGGAGTTACATGAATGGGCATTCTCGCCAGGGGGAGCGACCCTTTCCATTTAGTGTTGATAAGGGATTTGTCCGATCACACAGGATGCAGCGGAAGCATTATAGAGGACTGTCAAACCCCCAATGTGTTCATGGTATTGAGGTAGTTTCATCACCCAATCTCAAGGGTCTTGATGAGGAAGATCGGAAAAGATGGGTGGAGCTCACAGGGAGGGATTTGAATTTTACAATTCCACGTGAAGCTAGTGATTATGGTTCATGGAGAAATCTTCCTAACACAGATTTTGAGCTCGAGAGGCCTCCTCTTTTAAAGAGCATATCAAATTCCCATTCCAAAAAATTGCTCAATGGATCTGGACTCAATCTGTCTACTACACCATCCAACCATGCCAATGGTGATGCAATGGACCTATCACCTGTTAGCAGCAAAAGGAAGAAAGACTTCTTCCCACATGGGAATGATGATGAGTGCTATTTGGCTGTTAATCCTCCTTCTGACCGAATCACAGACATTGAAATTCATCCTCATGAGCCACATTGGTTGAATAATTTTAGTGGGGTCATGAAAAATGTCTATGGACCTGTTACAGCTGCTAAAACTATATATGAGGATGAACAGGGTTATTTGATCATTATCAGCTTGCCCTTTGTGGATCTTCAAAGAGTCAAGGTCTCTTGGAGGAATACTCTAACTCATGGTATCATAAAGGTATCTTGTGTGAGCACATCTCGCATGCCATTCATCAAGAGACATGACAGGACTTTCAAGCTTACTGATCCTGCTTCTGAGCATTGCCCTCCAGGGGAGTTTGTTAGAGAAATTCCTCTTTCAACTCGAATTCCTGAAGATGCTAACATTGAAGCATATTATGATGGGCCAGGATCTATGCTTGAGATAATGGTGCCGAAACTTCGTGTGGGGGCAGAACGCGAGGTTCGTGTTTGCCTTCGCCCTAATCTTGGAGGAAGTGATCTCATGTTGACTTGAAATATCCTTTACTCAAAATATGTAAGGTAGCTGCTAATTTGCTATTATTGGAGCTTCATTGTTTTACTGTATGTACCATAGTGTTGTTATCTATGCAACAAAATATAAGCTCTCAGGTTGTGTTTTGCAAATTTTTTGCCTCACTAATTGCTATGGTTTTTGATCCCATCACTTTGGTCAACATTTAATGTAATCACAAATGCATTATAACCGTACTCTGATTAGTCATTTACAGAAATATAGTTTGGACTTTGGATTCCATGGGAAGCTGATTATCTAGAGATTTTATTCAATTTCACTTGCTACCCTTCTTAGATTGAAGGTAGCCGATTCTGTTGAGGGAAGTGACTGTTATATTTCTTTCGTTTTGATTGTCTACCCTTATAAGCAAAGAAATGTGAAGATGGTGTTGTGGATGGATAGAAGAAAACAGCATAGATTGGACCTTGTTGGTTTGATTCCATTGACACTGATTTCTACTAGGATAGCTGCCGGCCGTCGATGTTAAAGGGAAGACTCACAACACATTGTTAGAACCAGCCGGAGGCAATGGATTTATGCCACTTGGGAAAGTCCCATGTCCAAGAGAAATTGGTTGGGTGATAAACTATCGATTTATTGTAGAGATCAAAAGTCATGGTGGGTTACTCTTTTTACAAATGGCGAGTTTAGGCGAGTGTGGTGAAGGTCAATTTAGACGTGTGCTTGTTGGTTTTTTAAGTTTCTTCCTTCTACTAATTATTACCTACCTTAAATGCGAAGCTGCATTATTGGTATTTTTTCTTCAGGTGGGACGTGGGAAAGGCGAAAGTAGTCAACAATTTGTGATGGCTATCTATTAAGGTATAGTTTAACAATTGGTGGTATGTAGCTGTTATTTTTTTAAAAAAAATAGACTGTAAAAACTTCTCTTTTTTTTTCTCTATAAATTTAATTTGACAGTGGACTATCAATTAGGAATGAACTCCTCCTCGAAAATTTCCCTTCATCTATTTAAATATTTAAATATGAAGTTTTTAAAGATCAAAAAAAAGAAGAAGAAGTTTTTAATGTGTTTTCAAGATATAACTTTAAAATATTTTTATTATTATAAACAATTAATAAATTAAATATTAATTTTTATTTTTTATAAAAATTAATAATAAATATATATTTATTACACAAATTAAAAGAACCTTTAAATATTTACAAAAAAATATTTTAAAATTTTAATGAGTGATAACTATTTACCCAATCATTCCTATCTTGCATCAGTGCAAAGACTGGACTCAAATTTTAAACTTGAAACATACAGCTGTTCTTTTGAACCTTTCCTGTTTGGTATGGTATCCGTCGGTGCTAATGGGCCCTATCTATCAGGGATTCAGGGCAATTCCTCCAAAAAAAGGCCCAAAACATATAAGCAAAATTTGAGCAACACATTCGCATTCCATTCAGTACGCATTTTCGCTCACTTTGAGTCATTTCCCAGCAAAATTTGGAAAACCATTGATGAAAATAGCAAGTCTTGAAACTAAAGTAAAGTCACCGCTTAATTTAATTTCATCAACAAAAAATGAAAAAAAATCCACCCGACTTATGGACTGAGGTTATTGTCACTATTAAATTTGTTAATACCACTAATTTAATTGTAATTTTATTAATTTATAATTTTAACAAAGCTAATATTCTATTCTCCTGTTGTTATAGGGTACATTTGTTTAGACGAATCTTATATCCTACTACGGTACTATTGTTTTTTAAATGGTGAGAAAGAGGAAAGGGCCACCCGTTCTTTGGTACAAAAGACCACCACTGATCAAAGTTTGACTTCTCATTCGTTGGACCAAAACATACTTTTCTTTTTTTTTTCTTTTTTTTTTTTAACAAGGTTGCAATTTTTGAATTTCGAAAGAATCCAACCTCAACCTCCGGTTGAAAGATGTATTTTACAAGTCAATTTATTATCATTAAGTCGTAAAGTTCAGGTGCGGACCAAAACATACTTAATTAAGACATGAGTTGTACATTTTAAATAATTTAAAAAAGGATTAATTTTAAATGTGTAAAAATTATTTAAAAAATATTTTAATAATAATAATAATAAAATAAAAAAAGACTTCACATGTTTGTGGCCAAAATACACCTAATTAATTTTTTAAAAGACCACCTAATTAAAGCGTTTGAGACAAGGTCAAGACCTGATATAAAAACTTCGGCATTTAGTAGAAGAAATACATATATTTAACTTCCATAATTAAAAAAAAAAAAAACATATATATATATATTGAAGGAGAGATTTAGGATTATTATTGTCCGTACACACTGAGCAACACCGGTCCACCGCCTTAGTGAGAAAATATAAGAGTAATCAAATAATACATGGAATTATAGAATAAGCATTCCGTATTTCCGTTTGGCTTTCATACAAGAAAAATAATAATAATAATAATAAATAAGGGATTCCGTTTGGCTACGCCGTTAATCCAATGGGGACCACATTGGTCATATCAATCGAGTCCAACAAAGAAAAGCACTAGAGGTTGAATTTGATAAGCAACATATATTATCATTTGCTGTTTTTACAAATCATCCGTTTACAATACAAATTACAAAGTAATGAAAGTCGATTATTGAAAATCAACGATTCTTTTGGCCGAACATTTACAATCAACTTATAATTAGGTACAATTTGTCAAAAAAAGAGGCACACAACTTCCCTCAATTTGTACGTCTCAAGACACGTTGTCCACAACTAACCTCTGGTTTTCAGCTAATCACGTTTTTCTTTTAATTAGATGATAAATTATATAATAAAAATACTTCTCCCCTTTCCAAATAAGGTCCATTCATGCCCAAATTCAAACTTAAAATCTACGATAGGAACTCCACTTTCTAAACAAGGCTCACCCGTGCCAAAAATTCAAACTTGTTAATCACAATAATTGAAGAAACAAAGTAGATAATTCGTCCAGAAAACATACAAATCACAAAAATATTTAGAAAAGTTGTAAGAACGCAGATTCCAGAATATTATATGGGGCAACCAAACCAGGAAGCAGTACCAAAGGTGCCTGTAAAATCCATTTGACAGGATCCTTAAAATCACTTGTGCATTGGCTTTAAAGTTTAAACCAATCAGATAATAAGTACTGGAACCAAACTGACAAAAAGCACAAAAATAAAATTCCTAGGATAACATAAGGAAGAACCTAGAGGGAACCACCTTAATCTACTTCCTCAATCTTTGGGCCAGCACCGCTTCCACCAGCAGGAGCATCATCATCCATACCACCACCCATGTCGGGACCAGCGCCTTGGTACATCTTTGCAATGATGGGGTTGCAGACGCTCTCCAACTCCTTCATCTTGTCTTCAAATTCATCAGCTTCGGCAAGCTGGTTGCCATCTAGCCATTGGATGGCCTGCTCAATTGCATCCTCAATCTTCTTCTTATCAGCTGGAGGAAGCTTGGCACCAATCTTCTCATCCCTCACCGTGTTTCTCATGTTGTACGCATAGTTCTCCAATGCGTTCTTTGCCTCAACCTTCTTCTTGTGCTCTTCATCCTCAGACTTGTATTTCTCTGCTTCCTGAACCATCTGCTCGATTTCGTCCTTGGAGAGTCTTCCCTTGTCATTTGTGATGGTAATTTTGTTCTTTTGACCAGTAGTCTTGTCCTCAGCAGACACGTTCAATATACCATTGGCATCAATGTCAAAGCACACTGTAATCTGAGGAACACCCCTGGGAGCAGGTGGAATGCCAGACAACTCGAATTTTCCGAGCAAGTTGTTATCCCTGGTCCTTGTCCTTTCACCCTCATAAACCTGGATCAACACTCCAGGCTGATTGTCTGAGTAGGTTGAGAAGACCTGTTCCTTCTTAGTGGGAATGGTGGTGTTCCTAGGAATCAAAACGGTCATGACACCACCAGCAGTTTCCAAACCAAGAGACAGAGGAGTAACATCCAAGAGGAGAAGATCCTGCACCTTCTCATTACCCTCACCACTCAAGATGGCAGCTTGGACTGCAGCACCATAGGCAACGGCCTCATCAGGGTTGATGCTTTTGCAAAGCTCCTTCCCATTAAAGAAGTCCTGCAAAAGTTGCTGAACCTTGGGAATCCTAGTAGATCCACCAACAAGCACGACGTCATGGACACTGCTCTTGTCCATCTTAGCATCCCTCAAACACTTTTCAACAGGTTCCATACACTTCCTGAAGAGATCCATGTTAAGTTCTTCAAATCTGGCACGGGTAATGGTGGAATAGAAATCAATACCCTCATACAAAGAGTCAATCTCAATCGTGGTTTGGGCAGTGGATGAGAGAGTCCTCTTAGCCCTCTCACAGGAGGTCCTCAATCTCCTAAGAGCTCTTGGGTTGCCAGTGATGTCCTTCTTGTGCTTTCTCTTGAACTCCTGGACAAAGTGGTTCACCATTCTGTTATCAAAATCTTCACCTCCAAGGTGAGTGTCTCCAGCAGTAGCCTTCACCTCAAAAATACCCTCCTCAATGGTGAGAAGAGAGACATCAAAAGTACCGCCACCAAGATCAAAGATGAGGACATTCTTCTCACCAACACTTGCTGCCTTCTTGTCAAGACCATATGCAATGGCTGCAGCTGTGGGTTCATTAATAATACGCATAACATTTAGCCCTGCAATGACACCAGCATCCTTGGTGGCCTGACGCTGGGAGTCATTGAAGTATGCAGGCACAGTGACCACAGCATTCTTCACTGTAGAGCCAAGGTAAGCCTCAGCAATCTCACGCATCTTCATGAGGACCATGGAAGAGATTTCTTCAGCAGCAAACTGCTTCTCTTCACCCTTGTAGTTGACCACAATCATTGGCTTGTCACTAGGTCCAGGGATGACCTTGAATGGCCACAATTTAACATCACTCTGAACAGTAGTATCACTGAATCTGCGGCCAATCAGCCTCTTTGCATCTGCACAGGTTAAAAAAAAAAACGTAAGCTACATACAAAATAACAAATTTCAAAGTGACAATCAATTAAATTATGAGATTGGTCCACTTAAAAACAACCATAAACCAACAAGTAACTCCGAAATGGAAAATAACAAACTGCCAAAAATGACATAATAACTTCAAACGGGTAACCATGATTGGTTCATAAATATAACATTCACCAAAAAAAATCACAAACAAACAGGTGCCCTATAAATAACATACATGATCACGCAGATCAAAATTAACAGATTCAGAAATAGCTAATTTACAATGTCAGAGACTCACAACATGTATATATCGCAGATCCAAAAAATTATCAGCTTGTGCATCACATGCATCTGTTCTCTTTAACTGCAAAGTTCGCATAAACCTAGGTCTAGAATTACAAAAGCCTCACAAAACGAAGAGCCAGTACAATAGCCTAAGCAAACAACATAAAGAAGACAAATACATGAAGCACCAACATCAATAAACGAAACGCCACACACACCACAAATCCAATGGCAGAGAAGAATCATAACTCATAAACTCAGATCCACCCAACATAACAGATCTAAAAACGATAGATCTAAACAAGGCAGCAGAACAAGTTTAACTCGAGGAGAACAGAAAGCTTACCAAAGACGGTGTTGATCGGGTTCATGGCGACCTGGTTCTTGGCTGCATCACCGATCAGACGCTCGGTATCAGTGAAGGCGACATAAGACGGCGTTGTTCTGTTACCTTGATCATTAGCAATGATCTCAACACGGTCGTGTTGCCAAACACCGACGCAAGAATATGTAGTTCCAAGATCGATACCGATCGCCGGACCTTCTCCTTTACCGGCCATTGCCTCTTTACTTTCTGTCGACGAGAAGAATTCAGAAAAAATGAAATGCAGAAAACCAGCAAACCTCTAGGGTTCCGAGTGATTGAGAGCGGGGCGAAATCTAGGCTTATATAGCATCAATATTTGGGTTTCGAGAATGTTCGAATCCGGGACTCTAGGAGCCGTAGGATCATTAGGAAACAATTTAACGGTCTCAGATTGTTTCCATATGTAACGCGGGGTATTTCTTGTCTTGTGCCGTCGGTTCCCGAAATTTCCTCCAGTAATCCAATTATGTCTCGCCATGTCAGCATAAAGGTTTGGGGTCATTGTGCAATGGACAATATCAGTCGTTGATAGGATAATGATTTCGGTGATGATTGTATCCTGACCGTTAATCTGGATTTTTGGGTCACCAGGCATTGCTGGATGTCTCTTGTTGTGGGCCTCTTATTGGAGGAAGATTCAAATTCAAAAATGAAAATGTCTTTTTTTATTTTAAGAGGTTTTTGTATTACGAAAGCAAAAAAATATAATTAATTTATTTTTTATAATTAATTTATATAAAAATATATTAATATTAATATTATTTAATTAATCAATTAAAATTATTTATATATTAATAGTGTTAAAATAAATATTAATTTTTATAAATTTTTAAAATTAATTATAAAAAATATATATTTATTATACTTTTGATTTGTACTCTTAAAATACA